AACTTTGGAAAACCAAACCAATTAGCTTAAAACTTCCAAAAGTTTCAAGAATCCTTGAATGATTGCCCAACCAATAATCCAAACTTAGTGGGAATTGCTAAAACAGACATCCAAATTGGGTACATCTAACGTGCATGGATGTGATGATTGTGTAATCAAGCTCAAGTCTCAAACATGGGGTGCTTAAAGTGCATTTATACTCTTCCTTTCTGCAATGATTAGCTGATTACTAGACACAAAGAAAGCTACACTTGTACTTCCTAAGAAAACCCCAAATTTACTATAATTGCTCAAGTATAGAAAGAATTTCACTGCAATGACATCAATTTCCTGATCATCCAAGTTTCTTTGAGACCTGGAATTATAAAGAAAAGGGATAATAAGCTCCAAAGAGTAATGTACATATGTAGCAACACAACTCTTTAACTACAAAGTCTGAACTTTTTTAATGTCTCTCCAAAAGAGTAAATGCCATGCCTGTGCATTGAAATTTTCCTAGTAAAGGTACAAGGTAAACAGTACCATAATAGAACTATAAAACATCCATAAAGGTATGCTTGCACTCCCAACATTTCCACATCATCACATCAAAGCTGAGCCATCTGATATCTCTCTCTCTCTCTCTCTCTCATATGCACTGTTACTGATAGAACTTGACAAAATCTGTGTGGAAGAGGATTTGTTTGCCTTTATGCTGATGCAAAAAGGTTCAAGGACATCAGTTTATTATATAATTCTTGAAAGAAACCAATGGTATTTCAACACTGCTGCCATGATAGAGATATCATTCCAGAAGTTCTTTTGTAAATGCAGTACTAATCCAGAACAAGCTGTAAAAGAATACTAGAGAGTACAACAACTTTCTCATCATGCCAAACAGAGAGATTACCATCCTTCTATATCTGAGTGCTTCTTTATTCCCTGTCATCTTTGCTTTGAACCAAGAAGGTCTCTCTCTCTTGTCATGGCTTGCAACCTTCAACTCTTCCTCTTCTGCCAATTTCTTCTCTTCTTGGGATGTAACTCATCAAAATCCATGCAAATGGGATTACATCAAATGCACTAGCGGTGGTTTTGTTTCAGAAATCACTATCACTTCGATCAATCTTCCCACTTCACTTCCTAGTGAAGTCCTCTCATTCAACTTTCTTACTGTCCTTGTACTCACAAATGGAAACCTGACAGGAGAAATCCCACCAGCCATTGGAAATATGTCGTCTCTGGCCACAGTAGACCTCAGTTTTAATGCTCTAACAGGGATGATACCACCTGAAATAGGAAAGTTACCGAATTTGCGGGTACTGTCATTGAATTCGAATTCGTTGCATGGTGGAATACCTGAAGAAATAGGAAACTGCTCACAACTGAGGCAGCTTGAACTTTTTGACAACCAGTTTTCTGGAAAACTTCCCGTGGAAATCAGCCACCTAAATGCTCTGGAAATCTTTCGTATTGGTGGCAATATTGGAATTCATGGAGAAATTCCAGTGGAAATATCAAAGTGCGTAAACTTAACTATTTTGGGTCTTGCAGATACTGGGATATCAGGTCAGATTCCGCATAGTATTGGAGAACTGAAGAATCTCAAGACTCTTTCAGTATATACAGCAAATCTGACTGGTGAGATCCCACCAGAAATTGGTAATTGCTCAGCATTGGAAAATCTTTTTATCTATGAAAATCAAATTTCTGGAGGACTACCAGTTGGGATGGGAATGCTTAAGAATCTAAAAAGGTTGTTGGTGTGGCAGAACAACCTGAGAGGTTCCATTCCAGAAGATCTAGGAAACTGTTCAAGCTTGACTGTGATCGACTTGTCTTTGAATTTTCTGAGTGGAGAGGTACCTTCTTCCCTTGAAACTTTGATCACACTGGAGGAGCTCCTCTTGTCTGATAATTCTATTTCTGGTGGAATTCCAGAGTACATTGGCAACTTTTCTAGCTTGACGCAACTTGAAGTGGATAACAACAATTTTTCTGGCGAGATTCCAAGAACTATTGGGAACTTAATGGAGCTTAATTTGTTCTTTGCCTGGCAGAATCAGCTGAATGGAAGCATACCAGCCGAATTAGCCAATTGCCAGAAGCTTCAAAGCTTGGACCTTTCTCACAACTACCTCACTGGATCAGTTCCAAAGAATCTGTATAATCTGAGGAACTTGTCTAAGCTGCTGCTGCTTTCCAATCTGCTTTCTGGAGGACTTCCACCAGACATTGGCAATTGTACCAGCCTAAACCGATTGAGATTAGGATCAAACATGTTTGATGGTCAAATTCCTTCAGAAATTGGGCTCTTACAAAATTTGGGCTTCCTCGAGTTGGCAGAAAATCAATTTACTGGAGCTATTCCTTTTGAAATTGGAAATTGCATGCAGCTGGAAATGATCGATCTCCATGAGAATAAGCTTGAAGGCACAGTTCCTCTATCTTTTGTCTCACTATCTCAACTGAATGTGTTGGATCTTTCAATGAATAGAATTTCAGGCAACATCCCCGAAAGTATAGGCAAGCTCACATCATTAAATAAACTTTTACTGAATGGAAATAACATCAACGGTTTGATACCTAAGTCATTAGGCCTCTGTAAGGACTTACAGTTGCTGGATGTAAGCAGAAATAGTATCAGTGGTTTAATCCCAGATGAGATTGGTCAACTGCAAGGGTTAGATATCCTATTGAACTTAAGCTGGAATTTCTTGATAGGGCCCATCCCAGAAAGCTTTTCAAATTTTTCAAAGCTAGCAAACATGGACCTTTCCCACAACATGTTGACAGGAAGCTTGAGAGCACTTGGTAACCTTGACAATCTTGTTTCCTTGAATGTTTCCTACAACAATTTTTCAGGTGTACTTCCCAATACGAAACTCTTTCATGATCTCCCAAATGCTTCTTTTGCTGGTAACCAAGAGCTCTGCATTAACAGAGACCGATGTTACTTCAGTGGAAACCAGAACAGGAAGTCCATCAGGAACCTCACTATCTTAGTTGTTCTCAGTGTTGTTGTGACTATTATAATCTTCACAGTTGGAGCAATCTTCTACATTAGAGGTCATGATGAGATATGCAGAAAGAGTGATGAAGAGACTGGACTCCAGTGGGATTTCACGCCATTCCAGAAGCTGAACTTCTCTGTCAATGATATTTTAGGAAAGCTTACTGAATCTAACATTGTTGGGAAGGGTGGCTCAGGTGTTGTTTATCGAGTGGAGATCCCAGTACGGCAGTTTATTGCCGTAAAAAAACTTTGGCCCAAGAAGATTGGAGAAATTCCGCAGAGGGACTTGTTTTCTGCAGAAGTTAGAGCACTGGGATCAATCAGGCACAAAAATATAGTGAGACTTCTGGGCTGCTGTAACAATGGAAAAACTAGATTGCTATTGTTTGATTACATCAGTAATGGGAGTTTGGCAAAAGTTCTTCATGGTAAGATGATATACTTGGATTGGGATGCAAGGTATAAAATCATACTTGGAGCAGCTGATGGTTTGGCTTATCTGCACCATGACTGTATCCCTCCAATTGTTCACCGCGATATCAAGGCCAACAATATTTTGGTTGGTCCACAGTATGAAGCTTTCCTCGCAGATTTTGGACTGGCAAAGCTTGTAGATTCAGCAGATTATTCGAGAGCTTCAAACATTGTGGCGGGTTCCTATGGCTATATTGCTCCTGGTAAGTAAATAAGCTTCACATATTCAAGTTCTAGTTGACATATTTTCTTCTAAATTTCGACAATAAATTTGAGCATAATCAAGACACTCCACGACCATTTTACATTCTATACATCAAACTGGTTCCTCAATTCATCAAATACACAAAATGATGCTTCTTAATTTTCTCATTAAGAAACTTCTCAGGACAGTTTCTTTGTTTCCGACAAGAAGGTAAAAGTTTCTTCTCAAAAGATACTCAGACGTATCCACATTTGTCGATAACCACTAAGTCAGACTTATCTCGAGTTGTTCATAGATGAAGTTCAAGATTTGATATTATATTATTATCATAACTTTGTGCTTGGTGACTAACTTTATTATGTCCCACCTTGCAGAATATGGATACAGTATGAGAATCACAGGGAAGAGTGATGTATACAGCTATGGCATTGTGCTTCTTGAAGTCCTAACAGGGATGGAACCAAATGATCCCAGGATTCCAAATGGTGCCCACATTGTCACTTGGGTTCAACGGGAGATGCGAATAAAGCACAGAGAATTTACGTCAATTCTTGATCAACAGCTACTTCTACTGTCTGGAACACAAACACAAGAAATGCTTCAAGTGCTTGGGGTGGCTCTACTCTGTGTGAACCCCAGTCCTGATGATAGACCAACAATGAAAGATGTTACGGCAATGCTCAGAGAAATCAGGCATGAGAATGAGGATTTTGAGAAGCCAAATTCTCTGCAGAAAGCAATGGTTTCCAACACCAAAGCAGCGGTTCATTGTTCTAGTTTCTCAAGATCTTCTGAACCCCTAATTAGATCCCCCTCCCAGCGGTCAGAATAGTTAGATCTCATTCATTGTCGGGATTTTTTTTTTTTTTTTGGTCCTTTGATTCTTTCCAAGTTACTAATAAACTGTATAGGTAGATAAAAAAATTTTTCTTGTCAGATTAACACTCCATTTCGTCATTGTATTATGATTTCAGAGTTTCCACCTCCTAATAACTTGATTAAGATTTAATTTGTTTAGGAAGGGAGGATTCAAATCCCATGATCTGATTCCAAGGAGCTGTAACTTGATTGAAGCACTTTACAAAACCATTCCCTTTCTGCCCGAGCACAAATTCCCTCCACCTCCAGAGAGGTGCAAGAACCAATCAACCTTCATGTTCATTTTCTTTTCATTTGAACTCAGACTCCATGGTCAGACAGTACTGATGATTTGATAGTGGACAATATAAGGTATAACCTACTCTCCCTATATCTGGATCTTTTTCCCTCCTCCAATATGTCTCTCCTCTATCAGTTTCTAGGACGGTGATTTAAACAATTTCAAATTCAATCAAGGGCTAAGCAAGCATATCTCTGTCATTGGTGAATTTACATCAATTATTCAAAACCAGAAGGCTAAGATAATGAAATAATATCCATACAATGATTCAGAATAAAGGAAGTCGCTATCAGCAGCTACAAACATCTTTCAAGCCTGCATTAAGTTAAACATGCATACTTTACAATGGGTCCCAGAAATGGAGAAGTAGCTATCAATCCCATGGGTTGTTTTGGGGAAGAGCTGGGATAGACACGAAAGGGACGAAATCTTGGTTGGCCGGAAGCAAATGGAGCTTATAATTAGTAGGAACCAAATGGACCATCACACCTTACCAATTCCTCCAACATTGCTTTCACTAAAGATAAAGGGAGATACAGTTTCATCTTCTGAAAGATGCGTTGCTTTTCGGCATGTGATGGCAAAACTTCTCAGTCCCACTGGTAGGTCACAGTAAGCTATCAAGCTTCAATGGCTAAGGATGCATAACATCTGATGTTTAGGTTGATAAGCACTTCCCTGCAAGGAGAATAAAGAGCCCACGTACAACATAGCAGAGTCATACAAATGTGGTTTTCTCACACTCACTCTTCACTGCATCGGATGATTTGACTGTCAAAACCACAAACTAAGGTACTTTTAAAAGGGTACATCAGAAATCAATTTTACAAATATATGCTAAAGTATGAAGTCCTCCATCAACACTATCAACTACTTAAAAAGTCTCTCTGCACCCAAAAAAAAAAAAATTACACAGTGATGGAGACAAAAGGGTCCTAATAGTGTGAACAGATCCCTTATAGCATCGCTTGCATGTGACTCTCAGCTGGCAGACGAAGGCAAAGAAAAGGACAGTTAATTGATAGCTCACACGTAAAGAAAAAGAATTTAGAAAGAGACTTCAAAATTAAATGCCTAACGTGTTCCATTGATGACAATCCATCTATGAGCATATAAAATTCAGCAAAACGCCTAGTAAAGTTTGATATTTGACAGATCTTAAGAATCAATAAACAACCAGAAACACAGAGTACATGAACACAATCTCATACAAAAAAAGATCTGTTTAGTAATGATGGAATGCGTAAAGACTTAAATTTTGAGTATTAGTTGGAGTAAAATACCAGTTTTTGTCATACAAGTTCATGGACCAAAAGATGGCGGCGAAAGATCGGAGGAGAACTAAAGAAATAGAACAAAAGAGTTTCTCCAAATGGATCTTGCTCAACTAGAAGCATATTTCATAGTTACCTTATAAAAGCTGACTCCAGCAGGAATAATCACAGCTGTGCCTTGGGATGCCACTTTATACTGCACCCAATGCTAAAGTAAAGAGGAATTTAGTATCCTACAAAATGTAAATCAATTTCTATTTCTTTTTGTTTTGTGTTTTCTCACTTAATTATACAAGTAAAATCAGACTTGAAGGAAAAAGAGTTGCAGACATTACCTTGGTTTCTGATCTGAAGACACTGGCTGACCACTAAGAACACAGTCTATTGCAAGGCTTAAGTCCCTGAACAAGTATTATAGAAGTTACTCAGCACAATTGCACATAAAGCAGCAGGTCAAGAGAAAATTGCAGAAACTCGGTATGGCACTGATAGAAGTCAAAGATTCAACCTTCCTGTGACCCGCACATCATTACTTGGCCGTGAATCATCAAACTGGCCATGGTACACTAGCTCAAAAGGCCTACGCCCGTCCTGTAATGAAGCAGGTCTAAATTAACAGTTCACATCAAATAGGTTCACACCTACAGTAAATGAGCATGTATGCCTAAACAATAGAGTGGCTGTAAAAGATATATGGCAGGTTAGTATGAAGGATACTACGAAGACCAAAGCCATAATGGGGACAAGACAATACACTTAAAGGTTCCATAATAGGACACGGGTACCTTTCTGAAAAGGAAAAACTCAGGTGTGCACACAGCTCCAAAATCTTTTGCAACATCTTGAGTCTGTAGCAAAATGTAAAGAACCACTTTAGAGATTAAGATGCCCTTCTAAATATCACATACAAAGAAAAATACTATATCCAACAGCACTACCAATCACGATTTCTATACAAAGAACTCAGCAACACAAAATTACAAAAAGTAAACTGCAGAAGTCAGGAGCATCAAAAAGTTGGGGGAAGAAATTAAAAGGTACATCTGTTCAACAATGAGACACGGATAGTTCTACTTGTTCCATAACACTTGACTTAAACAGAGATGGACCGAAGGGGAGCCAAAAGAAAGCATTGGCTATGAAAAGTTTGATAAGAAGTTCCGGGATTCCAGGGGATTCTTTTGGAGTATGAAGTTATATGTGTCCATTTTAAGTGGCAATGGAGCAAATTTTGAGCTTCCGAGACTTCCAGAAATAGGAACAATTGCATCTCAGAATTTACAGGGATGTCAGACAGAATTTCTTCAGCAGCAAAACGGTTCCTTATCTTACATTTCCAGACTGTATGGAGTGGTTTAAACACTAAGGCCGCACCAGGAATTCATTGGCAATGATACATTGTTAGAACTTGTAATACTTTCAGTGATAAGGTTGGATTCTATAAAAAAACATAGGATCAGAAGAAATGATTTTTTTTTTTTTGGTTGCTGGTTTATGGTAATTTTGACCACTGGGAATAAAATTTAGATTAAGCTACACTCAATTGCCTCCTTCCAAGTTTTATGGTTCAGAGTCAATCAGCAACATTTGATGCAGGAGACACCCCTTGCACATATTCCATTATTAAACTTTCCATCTGGTTATGCCCACATGTCAGCGCAATGCTCCTTCTAACCTTCTTTGCTGAAGGCTGCCAAGGTATAAATGTAAGTGATTGATTTTCTGTTATTAAGGCTTCTCATGGCCATCCTTCAGTCCTCAGCTTATGTAAATTGTTTCGTTCCCCTCCGAGAAACCAACCCCAGAAAACCTTTTCAAACCAAGATAAATATACACACACAATGGCAAAGCAACGAACTTTGACTGCTAATGAGTTGTCGGAGATGGAAAAGATATTTATCACAGAGGCAACTCACATTTTATGCATTACCGCATGAGATAGAGATTGGAATTTAGAATTCTTAGTCTTGATCTAATTCTATGAGTGAGAGAGAGAGCTTCGAGTTTATAATTCTTAAGAATTACTGTTGTAATGTGTCATTTCTGTTTATTAACATACATCTGCTATCAGTTCTGTTAACCTCAGACTATATGGCTCGTAATATTTCTTTACCAGCACAAGCACAATAAGGGGAATTGGTATGAACTCATTTATGATACACACCAACTCATAATCCAAAATCCACAGCATAATGGGCTTACAATCAAAGCAAGTGAATATAAAAGGCTAATACCCACTAAATATAAGAGAAAGGCTATGGAATGTCACATTATCATAAAACAGTTTTCCATGACAGCCACAATCCTAAATGAGCCAGTCTTCTTCCAAAGCTGCTAACAAGAAGCAAAAAGTACTTTACCAACCGAAATAAAAATTATGGGCAGACACTTGTATTACTTCTTTTTAACAAGTTTTCTCTAAAATCAATTGGGTACTTCCACAAGAGATGTAGACCAGTGAGATGGTTTCGTAGTTTCAGCAATAATAAAATGCCTTGGGAATCTTTGTCCCCAATCAAAAATGACTCTTACTCATTCAACAGCAGGTTTATTTAAACAAGAAGAGATTGATTTAAAGATGACTGCCTAGCACAGTGATTTTACAGCAAAGAAGCACCAAGCATTGATAGGAGAAACTACAGGCTACCAAATTATCATTCCTAAGTTTTGGCTGAAAGAATTTGGTTTTATCCCCATTAACACCTGTCTGCACGAGTAAATATTGGGTGGTCCCAGTGCACCAGGTCACACAACATTACCAATCATCTTACCAAGCAATTGAGGTAGGCCATATGTGTATTAGGCTCATATCAATTTGATTCCTAAGGAATATTAGTTTGGCACAGTCAACTCAAGAACTTAGTCTGTTGGATACAAATTTAAAAGGCATCAGAACAATAACTATATAGTTACTGCTTCCTTGAGGAGCAAACGAGGAAACCACAACCTCAACAAATCATGTATTGAAATTCAACTCATATAAACAACCTAATTCAGCCACCAAAATAAAATATAGAACATTGTTCACGCTTTTCTGTTTTAAAGTTTTTGACTGAGGTTCAAAGAATTCTTTACCTGTAGAACTCTTACTTTGAATCAGAAAAACAGTAAACAGACATACCAAGGTTACTTACCGAAATATTGATATTTTTATTGGAAATTAGAGAAATAATGTTGGTTTTATTGTTGTTCCCAAAAGGAAATCGATGTCTTAAAATTGATTTCTCAGAAATAGACTTTAAAGGGTTCTTCTTTTTTCTCATCTTTTCTTTTTTCCCCCAAACTTTATCCACTCCTCCTCTACTCTTCTCCAGATCTTCTAACCAAACAATCCATCCAGTCTTGATGCACACCCACCCAACATTAGTAGTAAAAGTCGTAGTTTTGCAATCATCAACTTCTCACTGCTCTCCATTCTGATTCTTACCCTGCACTTTCTTCTCTTTGGTATAATTCTTTTTAGTTCTAATAGGTTTTGTTCTTACTCATGCTGATGACGAGGAAGGCTAGATTTTTTTTTTCAATGCCACTGTATTTTGGACTCAAAGCCCATGAGGACAGCCTGATGGCCCCAACCCACAGCACTAACATATTCTGCCTGAATCTACTTTACCATCTTTGTGATTGCAATTTTCAGGCTGTCGGGACTTGGTTTACACAAAAATGAAAAAGGCACCACTATGGGTGTAGTTCTAATATTGATGGTGGTTGGAGAGGGAATTATTGGGAGTGAAAGGTGCTGAAGGAGGCTCCACACAAGGTCTGCTTTTGAGGCTGCTCTGCTACTTTATTTTTCCTTCTCGTACAAGTATAGAGAATTGATGAAGAAGGATAGGCAGGAGAAGGAGAAGAGGAAGAGAGGGAGAAAGGGGAGAAGAGTGGAGGGAGTTTGGGAAAAAAAGATGTCACTAAGAGAAGAAGAAGAAGAAGAAAGAAGAATCACTTCAGAGTGATTTCCGAGGAACTGATTTTCCTATTTTCAGAATGCTAATAAAACAAACAACCTTTTTTTTTTATTTGCAATAAAAATATCAATAATTGAATATATGACCGATACAAGTAAACATAGCAATCCAACTAGTTCCTGAGTCTGAAATTACATACTGCCATGAATTAATCAGGACATGGTTTGTCAACCAGTGTTTTGATTCAGAAAAATTTCCTGAGACCCCGGTGTCAACACAAGGTAATAAGTGGCAGCGTCTCTCGAGTCTAACACCATACGAATAAGCAGTCTAGTTTTGATCATCTCTTTTTTGGTTTAATAGAGTTCTTTTCTTACTTTTATCATGGCGTTCAAGATAATAGTCAAATTTTATTAATCAAACATACATTGAAAATTCTATTAAATATCCAACAGAGCTATTTGATGATATTCATATAGAAACTTAAACTAGACACGGCCAAATGTCAACTGTCAGCAATTCACTAAGTGACAACTACAGGAAAGCAGATTACTAATTGAATCAAAAGGATTCAAGATGGGAACAAATAAGCCACTTAGAAAGGGCAATGATAGACTTGCGAAAGCTAACCTCATCATACAGATATGGGAAAGGATATTTAAATAGCTTTGCTTCTTCTCCCATAAATTCAGGTCCATCCTTCAAGGAATAGATCAGAGTAATACATGTAATGTGGAGGCTTTATAATTTCATAAAGCAGGAGGATAAGTTCATCCAAACCTGCGGATGAGTAACTGTAGAATTTGATGATATCGCTACTACTGCAAGCCCTTTCTGCATCAGAAACAAAAAAAAAATAGTTGCTATTAACTCTTAATGTACAGTTCTAGCAATTTGAGAAGTGATTCGAATGCAAGAACACAAGACAGACAGTTACCTTCCTACCTTCATGTAGAAATTCGAGAGCTTTACAATATCCTTTTTCAAGTGTTTAACAAAGGGGCAGTGATTGCAAATGAACATAACCTGCAGAAACACATTTTAAGAGATGAAGTGATGTCAGAGAGAGAGAAAGAGAGAGAGATTTGTTAGGTTATGATTAAGCAGCAAGTTTGCCCGATTCTGATAGGTGTGTGTTTTGTAAATTGAAGAGGAGAGCATACAGCATCTGTTTTTTCATTGTGCACTCACAAGGGCAGTTTGGAAGAAAGTGCAGGTGATGTGTCTGACATATAGACGTAAGTATACTTGGGAGGAGGAATTAGCATGGATTGCAGCTCACTGGACTTCTAAATCCTTTGCGCACCAACTCAAGAGACTCTGCCTAGCTGCTACAATATTCCATATATGGAGGCTGAGAAACACGGTGATCTTTCAGGCAGGACATGCTTCAACTGTTGGGTTGTTGAAGGAAATTATTGAAGCTGTGAGATATGTAACCAGTTCATGGTCAGGATATCCTAGAACTCAAGAAAACTGGACACTATTACTAGAATGGGGAGTAGAATGGAAATGCCTTGTATAGTGAGATAGGAGATACATATGATTGTATATTCAAGTGTACAAATTCAATTCCTTGATCAATGAGAAAATTTATTTTGCACAAAAAAAAAAGTTTGGCAGATTCCTAGTAGTTTGGAGTTCTTTTGAAAGCTTGCATATCTTTTTTTTGAGAGAATTGCATATTTTAGTCCCCAAGGTCTTTGCTTTGTTTCACTTTAGTCTTTTACATTCAACTTGACACAATTTAGGCCTTATATTTTGCATATGTCTAATATTAGTCCCACATTTCAACTTTGAAGCAACTGCTTCATTACATTTCTGTAATTTGCAAAATTTGTTGCATAGATAAATATAGGATACAGCATGCCCTCATGTATTATAGTCATACTCTGTATTGCCCCATATTTTCAATGGTGCTGAATTGCCCACTTATGTTATCAACTACCACAAAATTGGCATTGCGTTAAGGGGTGGACATAATTGCCCTCAAGAAGATTTTCTAATTACCAACCCCCAAAAATTTCCTTACCCAAACCTCTGCCAACTTCTCTAAAACGCCTACAAACAACTGTAAATCCACCCATTTAGCACCCCTACCCTCAAACCACAAGCATCACGTTCAACCCAACCCAAACCACCATATGAGTGTCTTCCTTTCTCTTCGCAGCTAAATTGATTCCTGCTCTTCTTATTTATATCCTTTTTCAAGTAGTGAGAGCAAATAGAAATTGTAACAGTGGTTAAAAGTAGAGGATATAAAGGACTGGGCATTTGGTTTGGCATAGTGCTATGCTTGTGAAAAGGCTGGAGGAGAGTGGGTTGGAATTGAGGTTGGACTGACGAGGCTAAGGATCAGGAAAGAAGGTCAGTGGTGACACTCCGGTGCCAATGAAGAAAATGGGTACCAGCACCTCCAATATCATTGCTGATCCTTCAAACCCCTCGAAGCAAACAACGGTTGCAGTAGTTTCTGATCAACAAAGTTCAGTACTGAAATGGCACTTCTTAGAGAATTGACAACATCGACTTCACAAATTTTATCTCTTAAAAACCACCAATCTAGATAAAGACACAAAAAGAACTCCTTCCCAGATCCTAGGTTCCATGTTATCACAGCCACCTGAAAATTCTATTTCGTATGATATGCACCACTCTGGTGGAAGCAATAAGCTCCATTAACAAGAAAGCATGTCTTAAAAAGAGGGGGAGAACTCTTTTTTGACCATCAGGTCAGTTAATAGCATCTTGCAAAAGACTTAGTGCCCCACCTCAAAGAGTTACTTTTTCCGAGACCTTTCTTTGTGCAACAGAGTCATCAGTTTAATAAATTAGGAAGATTAAACAAGGAAATTCTTGAATGGTTCAAATAATTCTTAAATTTACAACCAGACTCTCTGTCGACTACGGTAAATATATTAATATGGTTAAGGCATTAAACATCAGTTACCGTGCATCACAATACCAGATGGAGAATCAATAGTTCCTTTCAAAAATTAATAAGGACGGCTAACTAAATACGAGATAATCTTATTAAGCATTATAGGCACACCAATTTCCGAACTCTTAATCCCAACTTCTAAAATTCTTAGAGTTCTAACTTAAATATCTGAGATTTACTTATTAGGCATTAAATCACCTGAATACTTTTTGATTAAGAACCATATAGACCACTTAGCAACAAAATTCTTTATTCTTCTTCACTCTAGGTCCTACCTTTGTTATAATCTTAGTCAGCAACTGTATTTTAAAAAAAAATTATCAAGGGAAAACATGAGGTTTATATATCTTGGTATTCATGTCAAAGCCTAGGTCACCAAAAAGTTGAATTAATCACCAATAAATTACAAAGATTTTCAATTTTATGACAACAAGTCAACAATCTCATTAAATCTAAGAAAAATAAAAAATACTAGCACATATAGTTCCCCAGAACCAAGTAAACCAACTAAACATTGAAACTCTTATTCGCTAGGAAATTCAAACTTTTGATGCATAATTTAACTGCTCATGCATACATGATCAAGCAAGTTATTTATGTTTCCCTTACCAATCACTTTCACCATAAAATATGTTCCTAAGCATGTCACCATGTTTCACAAGGTTTTCCTGCATGTAGGCTGGTCCTCAAAGATGATAAAATAGCATAATTCTATCCTTTCTTCATTTTTTTTTTTTACCTCATGATGCCATTTCAAAGATTGCTTGGGTTATTTACCACAACATTGCAATTTTTATTCCAAATTTTTTTAAAAAAATATTGATGCTTTTGTTCCTCTTCCTAAAACGGGGAAGTCAATTTTGTGAGTTGATTCCACAGAAATCAACTTCTAGTATCTGTTCTTCTTCCCAAACTTCCAGTCCATTTCTCTCTTCTCCACTCCTTCCTCTCCTTGTCTGCCTATCCCTTCTCCTCTTCTCCACTCACCCAATAAAAATTTCAAAAACCTAACACACATCAAACCCTTAAAAATCGATTCCTAACAAGTGCTCATTCAGCAATAGATATCTCAACTCACTGAACTGCAACACTTGCACCCACACATGCATGTACGTATTCTTTACTCGAATTCACTTCCCATATCCAATCTTAGTTTGGATCTGGAAATTGTTCATTACACCTGAAGCAGATATAAGGTGAAGACAACTAACTAAATCATCTTTTCTTTTGTTGTCAAAGCTAGCTTAATTTGCATTTTCAATTGTTTGGAAAACCACTATTCCTAATATCTTTGTTCTGGCAATTCTGAGATTAACCATGGGAAATGGGTCAGTCCTTTTATACTATTTATTGGTTCTTATAGAGAGATGTCTAGACCAGACAGGCGATTTTCCTGTGTTCCATGGCATTTGCACCTCATATCCGTGCAGCAGCTAGCAAATCCGAATTTGATGAAGAGAAAATAAACATTGATGTTGATTTTGACAATATCGACTTTCTTATTTTCAGAAAAGAAATAAGCATGTCAATATTTCTTTATGTTGTATTAAAAAGTGCAATACCATAGGAAATAACCCAGATTTCTCAGAATAGCAAATTACTCTAATAAATAAACAGTCACACTATCCTACTCCATGCATATGTTGGCAACCACGATTTCAAAGAAATTGCAACACTCACATCCTTCAGCGCATTGACAAAAAGCAGTCATATGAACATATTTTAGACCATTCTACGGAATGAACCCTTAGTGGGGATGGCCTAGCTCTTACCAATAAAGCAGGATACGGTTCAAAGTCCTCCAATTTCCACATTTTACCCGTAAGCGGCTCCGGAAGCTGCATCCAGCATCCTCAGAGTCATATATAAAAAGGAAAAAAATTGAAATTCAACAATATGCTCAAACGCAAGCATGAAAACTTATGCTCAAAATTTCTGAATTCTATCCTTAAATTCCTTTGAAGTGGAGTAGCTAATGAAAATCATTACCACGCTAGCTTTGACTCAATTGAATGCGTAAACAAGCATTACATCTCAATTTTTTTTTCTTGCTGCATATAAGACATAAAATTTGAAAAATATGAAGCAGTATCAACAAGAACCCAGAAGAATATAGATTACATACTACTAGAAAATTGAAAATAAAATCAAACCGGACCTCAAAATGGGGTGCTCTGAAACCAAGAGAGACGCCTTTGGACTCGGCTCTAGCTGCTCTAATCACTAGTTTTCTTGCTGGGAAATTAAAGCTTTTCTGCAAGGAATCAAACCCCATTTTCGAGAAGGACACAAAAGAGAAAAGGTTAGGCTTGATTATCGGCGGCTGCCGGCGGCAGAGTAGTCGAGGCGGGGCGGTGATGAAAGATTGAGTGGCAGTTACAATACCCGGCATGGCTAACTGTTTTTTCTGGTTCACTGATAAAGTTCCCTTTTTATATTATGCAGCAGTAGAAAATTAGAGAATGGGCTTAGATGGGTTTGGGCCAATGTCCATTAAAGCCCCAAAGGAGAGAAAATCTGAAATTGGACAAAGATGCAAAAATTTTAAAGTGGGCACGGTCGGGTACTCGGTACCCGACCCTAACATAATTTGGCTGACTCGATTCTAACATATCAGATCAGTCATTTGCAACCCCCTAACATAATTTGGCTGACTCGATTCTAACATATCAGATCAGTCATTTTGCAACCCTAACCTGCTTCTAATGTCTCCAGATACTCGCTACTAGAGTACTTAAAAAAAAGGGGCGGGTCATAGGGTGCCCTCCTCTAAAAAAAAAGAACTATTTTCAAATAAAAAACTATTTTTCAATTAATATCAACCTATTTTCCAATATAAAAAAAAATCTGCTTTTCAATTAATATTGATAAAGATATTATAATCACAATCCATACATCAATATTCTAAATCACAATCCATACATCAATATTCTAACACATTTCATTCAACAATCAAACCAATCTAAAAAATTTATATTAAAATTAAGGATAACAATAGAACGGGTTGGGGCAGACGATCCACCCTATTGTTCCTTCCCCCGCCTTCGCCCTATTGTCAAATAACTCCTCCATCCCTCGCCCCATTCCAATCCCAGCCCCCCGCCCCGCGCCTTGTCAAATTAAGCTTCAAGTTCTTTTATTTTTCCCCCCCTCAATTAAGAGCTAAATAAGTAATTACTGCAACTTAGAATTACTTTTACGCACACACAGCATGGTCATGTAAACGATCGGGGTGGTCGGCTACGTCATGTACGTTTGACATCATTGCGTGCAATAAGAAAATGAAAGATAATGAAAGTTATTTCATATTTGTATCGTCTACTCCGCTACAAGGAGAAGGAGAAAGATAATGAAAAGCCAAAGAACCAAAAATAATGCAACTTTCTTCGATATTGTTAGAGAGATGGAAAGAGAAAAGAATGAGATTACGAAAAATTTTATTTAAAACAAAAAAACTTTTTCTCGATTTTTTCCCACGTATGAGAGATGGAAAGAGAGAAACTAAACATGAGCCATTTTGTATTGATCAAATATCTCTACTTCTGAATCCTTGTTCTCTCTTCTTTCTCTGTATTTCATTCTCTTTAGAAAAGTTTCCTAACCAAACCTTTTTTCAACTCTCCCGTGGGAAAGAGGGATCAGATTTTTTCTGATATTTCCCTATGGAAGGAGGCTTCACTCTAGTTTCTTTTCATTCGTGCTAATAAAAGTCTCTCTTACAATTTTTTAATGTGAGTTTTTTTTTTTTTCTCATAGGTTGTTGTCTATTGAGAGTTTTCTTCTTTTTTAAACTTTTCCAGTGAGAGTTTTCTTCTCTCTTAAGGATTCCTAATATGGGTTTTAGGTAGTTTTTTCATTTTTCTTTATTAGATCTGAGTTTTTTTAGGTCTACCCAACAAATGTCACCATAATATCTGAATTGAACTTGAAGCAGTCACCATAATATTTGAAATTAAATTAGATAATTAGCAAATCTAGTAATTAGAAGTATGCACAGATGTTCATGGGGTAAAAATTATTTTATCTCATTTTTTAAAATATTTTTTAGACATTTACAATGTAATTTTTATCTATTCGTCAAATCTGTAGTATCCATTTTTCATATTTATTTCTTGATATCTATGCATGTTTGATGACGTAACTTCTACCATTAATGTAGATTTTAATAAAATTATGATGTTTTCTAAAAAAAAAAAGGAAGAAGTATCTCTATTTCTTTTCATTTTTATCTAACTCAAACTTTGAAATGATTGAAAGCGTAAGCGAAATAAAAGAGAGAAAAAAAATTATAACACAGTTGACAAATCTGCTTTAGTTACGTGACAGGCTTACGTGTGTCGCACGTCTTACAAGTTATAGCGCTTTAAATTTGAGAAACAAATAAAAGCAGGAAGATGATGCTGTAATCTTGGGAAAATTTGTCCAATCTTCCCCTAACATCATATATCACAATCTCTCAAGTCTCAGCAATAAGAAAAGCAAAAGGTTAGCAGAGTCACGTCAAGGATAAGAATGTATGGTTATTTGTCAAGATGCCAGCCACTGATTGCTAATTAAATTTCTTGATTACGTAATAACTCTTTTTTTAAAAATTGTCAAATCATGTTATGATTGATAAAGTTTTTATCTTTCCAATGAGAAACAAGCATATCCCTGCCGTCTCCAGAGAGGTTCATAATTTATCACAATAGTTGTTGGAATGGTAATTTCTTGACGGTATAGTTGTAAGCACTCTTAATGATTAACATACGAATTAGTCCAACCAACTCAAAACTTTGTATTAAAAATTTCTGTATCATATGTTCATCAAGGAAATATTATGATGTAACACCCTATTATCGTACAAGTAACATATTAAGCTACCACTAACTCCTTCGTATAGAACTCGATAAATTACTCTTTTTTTTCAAAAAAAAAAAAAAAAAGAACTCGATAAATTACAACATTAATTCGAAGAAAAATGAAAAAGAAGCCAATTGGTTGAACCTGAGTATCATCAATTGGTCACACAGGATTAAGAAATTGGAAGACAGTGTCAATTTCTTTTCTTTTTTTGGTATTAATCAAGTAAACTGATAAATACTACTAATTGCCTATCTAAAGGCGAGAAAAGCAGCAAAAGATGTTTCTTGGAGAACGGCCTGGACCACGCCTTTTTGGGAAATATATTGTATATTCAACAATTATTTTGTCATTTGTGCTTTTAGTACCTTTTGTGATCTAGACCTAGAAATCTAATGACTCTTATAATAATGGGATTATCTGACCAAAACTTAAGATAATGTTTCCATAGATTCCTAATCCTTGGTGACTGGAAATGGTTTTGCTAAGTGTATTATGACCGAGGATATGGTTTCTTCTTTTTTTGTTTTTTTACATAAGAAAAAGGTTGGGTGGGTTCGCATCCAATTATGACCACGAGTCAGAGTATGTCTCCAAACCATAGGTCGTTTATAGATATTCTGACTGGAAATGGTTTTGCTATATGCATTAGGACTGAGGATGTGGTTTTTTCTTTTTTTTTTTATGTGGGAAAAAGTTTGGATGGATTCAACTCCGATAATTGCCATAAGTCAGAGCATGTTTCCAGTACCATAGATCGCTTATAGAGATTCTAACTAGAAATGGTTTTGCTAAGTGTATTAGGACTAAGAATGTAGGTTTTTTTTATGTAGGAAAAAGTTTGGATGGATTCGACTCCGGTCATTGTCACGAGTCAGGACATATATTTTTGGGACTATCGATGGTTGTAGAGATTCTTATAGATCATCCATCAATATAGTTTTCACATTGGCACATTAACAATAGGATTCAAACATACGATTTTTGTGAGAAAATGTTTCATTCTTGCCAATTGAACCAAGTTGTGTTGTCTAATGAGGACGTGGTTGTATACCCTATAAAACTCTTTGTGTGATCAACATTCATTATATGAATCAAAGGAAAACTAAACTAGGTGTTATTTGACATCTGACATTCACTTTCGTTTCATTAGAAGAATTATCAACTGATTTCATCTTCACACGCTGTTAACTTCAATAATAAGATACATATCTCACATACAAATTATGGATACAAAGAATGTTGAACATACTAGTCCATCATGATGCCCAATGGAACCTTAGAGGGCACAAAAAGAAGAGGAATGGAGTGTTCTATTTGAGGGTAATATATCACTAGCTTATCCCAAGAATTACATCAACAGCATATAATGTATGTAGAATCAAAATATCATTCTACTAATATAATAGTCAATTATGCAGCTCATGAACCTAAAGCGACCTCACTTGGCACAAAGTCTATGTATGTGAATATGAATCTAAAGCTTGGCAGTGGTGGGCGTATAAATGTTACATGTCTCAACCATAAGCGGCGCAAACAATATGAAGAGTTTGTCAGCTAAGTGCCCTAGCTACCTCTATTAGTTCAAGATAAGTGAAATTAATTCGATAAAAATACGGGTAAATTATACATAATTCCTCTGTGATTTTTTATATTTTTAGATGGTTCCTCTAAGATTTTAAAATGTCCCTACGGTTGAATTGAATGCACTCGAAAAATACGTGTGATGGAAATATAACATCTATTTAACACTTTATGATTTGCATAAATATCTACTTTAGCCCCATTTAGTTTTTGTATTTGTCTATATAATCTCTTATTGTTTTCAAGTAAGGTGGTCAAGCCGTTACTCAATTTAGTGATTAAATAAGAGCAATATTAATATTTAAACTAAGACGTTAAGGAGTCTACTTTCCGTCAAATTTTCACTTTACATGAAACCATAAGGGGTAATGTGAACATTTAGTTACATTAGAGAGGTCATGTGACGACATGTAAATCCACGGCGGATATGTGTAATATACCCAAAAATAATAATGGTAAGTTTGTTCCTTTGTATGAGAAATTATGTGTTTTAATCAGACAAAAATCCAACAATTATAAATACCTTGGCTTACAACCGAAAAAAGTAATGATAATAGCTCTTCAATTGTTTAAGAGACAACCTTTTTAAAGCTAGCCATAAATGCATTTATTAGTCATTGGACAATATCCTCTAGCATTATTACGAGAAAATTTTTAGTTCAATTTGGCACTTTTGCTGTGCAATACGTGCAAGTAACAACAATTCTATTATTAGTTAGCTTCAAATTAATACTCTGTTGTCTAACCAAAGATACCACACATTATCAGTAAATTGGAGTCTATGGCGGGCTAAAACTCCCACATAACTATATGAAAATGTTCTCTCTAATTTTAGGATACATTTTCCAACTCTGGGTTGATAGTTTCAGAGAGTGATGTTCTTTTGTAGCCTATCCAACAAGTGATGATTGATATACCAAAGTGCTATACATTGGAGACATCCCACACGATAGATTTTATTCACATGTAAGAGGGTTATTCCGATTGCATTTCCTAGAGAGTTTTAACGGGAAAAAAATTACTGTAATATTTTTTAGAATGTGATGTATGTGAAGTAAAATGTATTAAAAAAATCGTGTAAAAGAACAAATTACAAAAAGTGAAAAAAAAAATATCTAAAAAGCAGCGATTCGAACAAGACCTAAATTTCCAAATCACTATCTTAGGCTTTAAATCAAGCGCCTGACCATAAGTATATACCATGCCGTCTGGATTAGCAAGAATCCAACAGCTACAGGACCAAGTCATTTCGTCCAAAATGAGACTTAGATATTATCCATTAGTTACAAGATATTATTCATTAGATCGCAGGTCAAAAAACCAATAAATATACCGATTGGACAGTTGAGATGTTTCCAACCTAATAAGCTTCATCATATCACAGCTTCATTTGGTAGAAATAATCAGAGTAATTATTAAAGATTATTAGGATGAGTGGAAGTGATTACTCTAAGGTCAAAAATGCAAAGGGTCGCAATCATATTATGTCTGCAAGATTAAAAAGAATTACAAATGGCCCATTTAAAAAAAACATTGGAATAAGTGAAGAGCTCAAACTTCAAGAACTTGGAAGAATACAGAACTTCAAAACACCAGTGCAAATTGCAAGGCCTCAAAGACAGCCAATGAACAACAGTTTACAATTAACATGTATATTTGCTAGGGAGTCAACTGTGGTATGATTTTCTTTGAATATGAAAATCAACTCAGGAGCTATATACATATAAATAGAATCTTTGATCAACAAGAAAGAATCAAGAAGCCAAAAGGGTCATCAGGGAGATGAAGAGAAGAAGAGAGTTAGAGATGGGGTCAGAGATAAGGTCTGCCATTGATGAGCTATCCATGGTGGTTCTCAAAGTCAAACCTGCTGGTGGTCCTGAGCAACATAGTACTTGTGCCTATATCCCCACAAAGCCTTTTCTCTCAGTCTGCAACTTACTTCTTCAAGTTCTTGGTTTGTCTCTCCTTTACTTCTCAAGTGATCACGGACCCTTCATCAACATGAATATGCTGGAATTTTAACTGTAGTTTCGTGAAATTGTTCTTACCTCTATAGCTCCTTTTTTTCAATTCTATTTCCTTATTCATTCGTATTCTTAGATGATTTTGTTGTGAACATGGTTTTGATTTTGTGGTGATGTTTCCACCCCTTTTTTGTAGATAAGATAGGGCCAACAATGGCTGTTTTGAGACAGGATGTACATCAGAACATCCAGGTAAATGATTGACATCCACTGTAGGTAGATGCATGGTTCATTATAAAGATTGATTCTTTTTTTTTTTGTCAAAAAACTCCATAAGTGCAAGGTCGAGCTAACTACCAGCTTATTTGTCATTTTCATGTTACGTGCAAGACACACGCCTTGGCCTCTCCTAGTTTTAAGAGGCAGGACCCTATCTGAAGAAAAAGCCAAGCACGAATCTTGACTTTTGTGCATGATTATGTCTCAAGGATGGATTTTGACATTTTTTTTCTTTTTTTGGTTATTTCTTGCACTGATAAGGTGCAAATTGGTATTTTAGATTGGCTCTTCAGCCAATCTATACGTTTAAAAAAATAAAATAAATTGAATACCTTATCATGCCATTTCTAACATTCTGTAGGTCCATCTCCAGTAAATAACCAGAAAGTTTCCTACTTTTGGTTAAGCTGCTGATTTTTCAATTTTTATGAGCCGCAGAGATTGGAGAAGTTCTATGAGTCCGAGCCTTCTGTGTATTCAAATGTGGTGGAGATATTGAGTAAAGAGGCCAAAGAAGGCAAGGCCAAAAAGGGTCCCAGCTGCAGCAAAGCCTTTGTTTGGTTGACCCGGTGAGGTTCTTGGCATGTTCTAGTCTTCTATTACTGTGCTTCATTAGACAAGTAAAGAACTACTATAACAGTATGTACCACCAAAACATTGGGTGTGCATCAAATTCGAAATCGGTAATTCAGAACTTTGAATTCAGAATTTTTCGAAAGTTTGGTATTAGAGAGAATCCGACCGAATTTGATTTCGAATTCACCAATTTTAAATTCGAATTCGTACCGAATTCAAGTCGAAATTCTGTAAATTCCGATTTCACTGAATTTGGGAATTTTGATATATTATTATATAATATAAATTTTATATAATATTATAATATATAAATTTTATATTACATATATAAAATATATATATATTAAAAACGAATTTGAAATCAAAATCGGAAATTCCGATTTGAAAAATCCCATTACCGAATTCGAATCAAATTTGAAATATACGAATTCGGAAAACCCGAATTCAATTCCGATTTCCGATTTACCGATTTCGAAAATTCTGAATTCAATTCGAATTCGATTGATAAATCGGAATTTTTCAATTTTGCACATCCCTACCAAAACATATCATGGAATATAACGTTCAAATTTACCTTGTGCAGATCCTTAGATTTTACTGTAACTTTGCTGCAATTGTTGGTGGAGGATTTTGGTAGGGATATGGAGCAAGTAGTGGATGAAGCATATAATATCACTCTGAAGCCATGGCATGGATGGATTTCCTCAGCTGCATACAAAGTAACTACCATAATATGGATTTAAATCTATCGCTTAGTGTTCTGATGAATGATTACTTATTATACTATAACTTTCAACCTAAGATTTTGCATTTAATCCATGCATGACCATGGGGAACACAGATGAGAGGAGTAATCTGTTCAAGCTGTTGTACCATTTTAAGTTTTGAAAACTTAAATATTCAGCTAATTTAGCTGGATAATATGAGCTTTAAACATCCTGCAGACTGATTGCAGAATTTCTTGGTGTGTCTCTGCAGGTAGCACTTAAACTAGTGCCTGACACCAAAGATTTTATCACAATTCTCATGGCGGAAGATGAAAATCGGGACATGCTTAAAGAAGAAACACGTACCTTGATTTCATTATTTCTTCCAGTTTTAGAAGGAATACGTACCATTCTGGTGAGCCATTACAAGTAGCACGTTATCTGTTTGATCGCTTATATAACTTCAGCTGATCAGAACAACAACTTGATCAGCAGTAATGTTTAATTTTTTTCCCCTCTCGCAGAAAACATTCGGATTGGATAGGTTAAAGTGTACCTGAAGCAAAGCATGAGGAAATGGAAACTATTGTACAGGGTGTTCTGTTCTGTGACTTCATTTTGCTCTTCAATGTACATATGTAGCTTACTTCTGTAACTTCTTCTGTAAAATTGAGTCCATAATCAGGCTATGCCCTGTGTGGCTGACATGCGTGAATTAATCAGGTTCTCCAGTTTGTTGAGAAATGAATGTAATTTCAAGTTGATTAGATTAACAGGACTTTGTGTCTTTGGGACACATCAATGTTTTGCCAAGAGTAATGAAACCGATTGCTGCAATTGGACCTCTGATTCATCCCCAGTTTCTGTCAGCAACTCAGCACTTTCTCCTATAAGCCTAATTTCCTGAATAGCTGTCTTATTTCAGGAAATTCAGGAAATGAGATGGACTACTTTTCTTGACTCTATATTATTTTACTAAAGAGGAACAGAGATGAAAGGTCACTGGTTTTTTCCAATCTTTTGATCACTTATCAAAACCAGATTTAGAAAGTATAATAGAATACAGAGACAAAAGGAGAATCATAGTTTTCCCAAATCTTGAAAATTCACATTCTGGAAACTGTGGATAGTTTAAGTCAACTTTTCAAAATCAGTACAAGTATTCGGAAGAGCAAAAGACTGAAGCTAATGGCCAACAGGGCGGGGAGTGGAAATCATAGACAGCTCTAAAGAATACATTTGTCCTTCCCGAGTCATGTATGGAACTGTAGGACTCTAGGGGAAACTAATAAGGATTTTCAGTAGAACTGACCAATTCAGCCATTCTTTGACATGGTTTTCTTTTGATTTTTCACAGATGTAGCTCTTCCATATTTGTCTGTTTGCTGGAACTTGTTTAAAACATCTGCTAGGATGTAGATGGAACAACCTTGATATTATCAAACAAACCTGTTTTGTCTATGCCTGAATTGACTCCATTTGGGTGAGAAGAGCCACTAGGAGGAGCATGCAGTGCGATAAGAGCTGCAACCAATCCAGCATTACCAGATATGCTTGGCTCTGTGAACCAGTTTTTACTTCTCTTATCTTCAAAAATATCATTTATGTCCGGCCCTGCAACCATGGCCCCATGGAGAATATTTGGATTTGCTTCTTTTCTGTTAAGCCAGTATTCTCCATCTCTACAAGTGTGCCGATTGTTATCCCAAGGGATGGATGCACCCCGATGATGAACTTGAGTTGGATACTGATCACCATATCCTACCATGTAGCTTATTTTCATGGGATTATCTCCCAATATGTAATTAACCTGAAAAGATGAGAAAACCAGTGAAATAAAAAATCAAATAATTGTAGGCACGTCTCAAATAGTATAACTTCAATTTGTGGCATATACTGATCAAATCCACTCTGATCAATGGGCAGTTTTAAGTTACAGGTTTTTGAAAATCTTGAGTAATGTCATATGAAATGCTCACTTGTGACCAGGAAAAATCCCTTAATGTTTCCAGAGAAAAGACAGCAGCACCACAGCTGGTACGAGTTCTATGCAACAGACTAAGATAGTCACCGTACAATTTTGTAAGGAAAGATGCTGTTGCAGCATGCTGAAGGGGTCCACTAGTATCTGGTTTTAAGAGGATCAATCCACCTGATCATCGAATATCCTTCTGTTAGTGCAAATAAAAAGAAGAGGAGATAAGAATTGGCAAAGACATTCACCTTCTGTCTTGGGAAACTTCAAAGTGGAAGTGTAAGAGCACATGAGCAAGTCAGTCCTGTTTGTTGTTGATGCAAATGTGGTTTCATATGGATAACCGAGATCCAGGAAAAATCTAAGTCGTGTTAACAAAATCTGCAGAACACCAAATAATTTATCAGAAGATGAAATGAAAAGACTAGCACATGCTCCCACTCAGTAGATTAATGGTTGAGTACCGCGTTAGCAGCAAGCTTGTTATTCCAAGAGAAAACTTCCTTATCAGATAATAATTCTTCCTCCTCAGCTGTAGCAAAATTATCATTTGCATAGTCAAGGTAACTGCTATTACCAGTAGCAAAGAACAACCAAGTTGCTCCCCAAACCATTTCGTCTCTGTAACTTGTTGAATTATAAAAATTCTTTGCTTGTCCACCACAATCATCCATTGATGTGTATGTCCCTGGTTTTAGCGAAGGGTCTACATTTCTAGCTAAATTAAATAGTTCCTCTGCTGCTTGTACTAATTTACCAGAATAGTCTTTCTGATCTTTGAATACTAATGCTGCAGCTGACATGCCTGCAACTGTTTCCCCTGCAAGGTCTAAGGCAGTTGCATCACAAACTGAAACAGGTCTTGGATAGCTCATATCTTCTGGCCTTTGCCAACAGCTAATATCATTTTCCCGAGAATTTTCTCCACTGGGGCCATTCCCAGGGCTGCCAACCTAAATCAAACAGAATAAGAAAACTTTTCGAGACTGCAAAATAATGAATTCTAGGGAGGATAACTGAAGAGATATTAAATCCTTAGCCTACCTGAGAATACAGGATAGCTGAATTAGTTGTATTTTTAGGAATAAATAGCTTAAGCAAGTAGTCACTTCCCCATTTGATGATATCCTTGACATGATCAAGTTCCTTAATATCAGCATACTTATCATGATACTCAAGTACAGACCAACTCAATAGAGTAACTGTATAAGCAGTAGGAAAGCTGAATTTCATATTGTTGCCTGAATCATAGAAGCCTCCAACTAGATCAGCTTGTGTAGTTGCCATGTTCCCATCACCTAAGCCAGAATCTCCGCGGAAAGTTATAGCACTGTCATTAGGGTAATGCCCCGCTACAAAAAAGATTTCCAGGCATGATCATGACAACTGGCTACCGCAATAATCTGACGCCGAAAACTCTAAAGTAATCAGTTTCTATAAGAGCGATATTATGATATCTTACATTTTTGTGCATCAAAGAAAAGGAGAGCTTGATTCAAGGCAAGTGTAAGGTCCTTGGAGGGGTCATGATGGTGCTTTCTCCGTGGCAGAATACTTAGTAGCAGAATCAATATCAAGAAGGTAATAGTTATGGAGGCTGCAAAAACCAGAAAACGGCAGAAATGCTTCTTATCCCCGATTGTAAGATTGAAACTGATTGATCTTGAGTATCTAGGAGGAATTGAATCCCAAGCATTGGAAGATTGAGGGAGGACATTGAAGTCAAGTTCAATGGAGTTCCAACGACTAGAGGAAGGGAGGAGCCGGCCAGCCCCTGGTACAGTATGAACAAACCTGACAGGAGTTGGAATTCTGTCAAGTTCTGAATAGCCTATAGAGTTTTTGGATCCTTGCATTCTTGGCTAATGAGGTTCTTTCCAATACTAAACTACAAGATTAATTAGCAAAACAAAACATTCATTCAATATGTGTGTGGAGACATTCCCAATGCATGATTTTCTTCTCCAAGCATAGTAACCATCTATTTCAAGTTTTCATAATATTAGTTATGTCTGGACTCAATAAAAGCAATTATTTACGGCAAATTTAAGGGCAAAAGGTAGTTTGTTACATTTGTCAACACACTAGGTATTAGGGATAATACGTTCGTGGTCCATCGTTCATCAACCTTTAATGGCTTTTGTGAATATTAAATGAGAGGACACGTCTCACCCTAATATATGGTGTAACAAAGAGTGTAACACTAAAGATGTGACAAAGAATTTATATCCAAATTTAACACACTTTATTTTGCATTGGTCATGTTCACGAGAAAAGGGGTGTGTAGTCGTGAAATTTACTGCCAAAAAATCTGTAATTTGCAAGTTGTGAAAACTTTTCAGATCATGTACACATTTTTTTTTTTTTGGTTTGCATATATCCAAGAATTTCCTTCAAATATATGGAGGGTTATGGAAAAGTACTAACCTTCTCCAACAGATCAAGTCTGGTCCAGTTTATCATGTCCATTTTGCTTTAAAAATTTACATGTTTTAATCCCATTGGCTGAAATTTTTGCAAAATTTCTTCAACCCTGAGTCTAATTGCTCTCAACTGTCAACCAGATTTCCTTGCACTTTGCTTGATTTTAAACCAATATTTTTATGCAAAACCTTATTAACGATGAATTATTTCAAACAAAAACTATGAATAGTTGTTTTTCATGGAAAATGGTCCAAATTAGAAGGGAAAAACAAAGGAAAAAATTACCATGCTTAACTATCATGATGACCATTTCAATGATGAATTTGTTCTCACGTTCGTTTAGTGTAAGAGGACGAACAATTGTGGACTGGGGACGGCCAATTAACAGCCCAAATTGGATCGTGGCTTGTGAAACTCGATCAGTCAGTACTCTAGGTCGGCCCACACTAGCCAGGCTGCGTTTGGCCCGCCAATCCATCTCTCTACTGTTACACTTGCAAGAGAAAAGGGTGCCATTCTGACAATTTTTGTGTAATTGTGCTCCAACACCAACATTTTGTAAGTAAATAAGATGCCTTGACATTAATGCCACAAAACTTTTATTGAGTCACATTAAATCCCCAAGAAGATGTTGCAAGATATAGATCGGAGCTAAAATATCTCTAGTGCAACATGTGAAGATACTAATCCTTCAACCTGTTGCTTGACAAATCTTGGTGAAATTTGTTGCACCTTAATCTCAGATGATTCTAGTTTAAACTCTAGAAGATTGATCATAATTTTGTCTAGGATAATGGCATTTTCTGAGAAAAACTTAATAAGGTCATTGTCACTTGTATGACCGCAGTAATCCAATATCTTGAAGACTTTAAGAGGTTGGAGCAGATAATTTATAATTTGTAGCTTTCTCTAAGTTTTTGTACTTCACAATTGTTTTACTGTCCCCTTCCAACCACAAAATAGTAAGGTGCATCAAGATGTACAAACATAAATGCAAGAAAGAACATGTTGTACAAATAAGAGAGAAATAGAGAGAGGGTAGCAGTAGCTGAAAATATGAGTAAGGGGCTTAGGATGGTTTTTTTTGTTCATTTTTTTTTTATGATAGCCCACTTAGTTTCCTATTTAAAGGTAAAGTAGTCCTTCCATCTTTAGAATGGTTTCGGTATTAGTTTTAAGGGATGAATTACTTGTTTGAATTCAGGTCAGGGGTAAAGTGAAACTCTCCCTAACGTTCAGGGAGTAGAGAGAAATTAATTCAAAAAAAATTTTTTTTTACCCAAATAACTATTAATCCAAATACACATTCTGCTTCTTCCTGGCTTCAAAATCCTCACAAATTTTCAATGCTCAGAAACCTTTTGATTTGAAGTTCCAGCAAATTCATGTACTAAAGCTTTAGATAATTAGCATGCATTCTCTAATTGGAGATATTTCTTGTTCTATCTCCTACCATTTCCAATCCTGAAATCCTTTTTTAAAATCTGTTTTGCTCTGAATCCCATTGTTATACTCGATTGGGTATTCGATTCTACCTTGTTCTGCTTCAGAAAACCCATATGCGTTGACTTTTGAATGCTACTGAATTTCGAATTTCCAAAAAATGGGCGTGTTTGAAGCCAAATTCGTGATCTTTATGCTGAATTTCCGTATGGGTTCTGCTTCAAATTCCCAACTGAATCAATTTTCACAGTAACGTTTATTTATTTATCTTGGGTATTTATCGGGCATGCTAAAAAATTTCTCCCCTTTCTTGATCTTTTATTTGGCTTGATCCAATCTATGAAGATAAATTACTCGAATGTGTCCAACAGTCCCAAGTCCTTTCAGGCCTATCCAAGGAACATTGACTTTGATTTAGAATCAGGAACCATCAAAAAATCCAGAAAACCAAGAAGTTCCAGTCTTTTTCATCCCAAAAAAATGATTAAATCCGTAGGCAACAAAATCCAGTACTACTACAAGCTTCATCCTGTGCTGATGTTCTTGATTTCTTTATCAATTGGGATCACAATTCTTGTTTTGTTATCTTTATATGAAAGCAAGTATAGAATGACTAGCAATTATAATGGTATGTATAAAGTGGATTCTGGTTCTTCTGAATCATATCCCTTTTCTAGGTTGATGAATCTTGTGATGGTTGCTGGGCATTCTGTTTATACTAGTAGTAGTTGTGAGAAGGTTGATAAGGACGATGCTTGGTTTTTGGAATCTTATCAGAAGCATAAGGGTCAAGCTGCTACTTTTGTGAGTCATATAGAGAAGGGAGTCGAGATTACAGGGAAAGATAATGCAGCATTGCTGTTGTTTAGTGGAGGTGAGACGCGGAAAGATGCCGGTCCGAGGAGTGAGGCACAGAGTTATTGGACTGTTGCTGAGTCCAAAGGATGGTTTGGTGAGTGAATCAGTTTCACTTTGTTGAATTGAGAATTTGGTTATGCTTCATTATTCTAAGAATGATTTTTTGGCTTTGTGTGTTTTTTTTCTTTAGGTATTACTTCTTCACAAAATGTGGCTAGGTTGAGTTATTTTAGACATGAGTGGAACAGTATTACATAAACAAGTTCACTATCTCTACTACTGTCCCAATTACAGTGAAACTAGTAGCATACACACTAGAAGCAGTGTAATCCACTATGTTATTACTATCTTAATTTAGTGTGTCATTTTGTAGAATGTAGGAGAAAGTGTAATCCACTATGTTATTATGTAGAAGATGGGACACGTTGGTCTTTAATCCTATTCCTTTGGAATTTACTAGTATATGTCAAATGTGGTAAGTTGTTATTCAGTAGTTGTAATTCTAAGAAACAAAGGGATCTTGGAGTGTCTAAGAAAAGCATAGTGCAAGGAAGACAACTCCCTTTCATGGATGTTCTGACACATAGGTTCTTGTTCTATGGCTACAGAATGCAAGAGAGGTTGTTTATAATTATGAGTATCATTTGAGTTTCCAGTCTGTACTTTTTATGCCTCCTTTTATATTGGTAATTCTTTTTTTGGTATGCTAGTTGTATGTAAAGTTGTTGACTTTTGACTTCTCACAATATATATATATATATGGAAACATCTATGAGATACAAAATTTAGCGGACAGCATTCCTTCCTGAGACGAATGGTGTTACCTTAGTCCCTTCAAATTGCATCTCATTCAAATGGTTCTTGGTGGGAGTAATTTGTTTGATGATAGTTACTTGTCAAGTTAATGTTGTCTAGATCTTACGGTTAATTTATCTGATAGTTAATTGTGTAAATTAAAAAGGCTAACATAAAAGAGTTAAATATGGTTTCTCATGAAATGGCTTTTATCCAGCCTGGTTGTTGCTGTTTATATGGTTATTTATTCTGCTGCAACTCCTCTTGTGCACCAAATGTAGAATATCCAGTTGGTTGCACATTGTCTTGAGAGGCTAAGGATGTTTCCTTTTCAGTTTGTTTGGAAGCAATCTGTTCTCTCTCCATACGCGTGTCCTTGTTTTCTGTGTCAACATGTTACACATAGTATGTGGCACAATATGTCTATGTCATATGTATGGTACTTGATAGTTTCCATCTCTTGGCTGCCATTGTTGGGTTCTCTATCTTCCTCGTGGTGTTTATATATGAAATGTGCTTTTTCACCTAGTGTTCAGTAACTTCTCTTTCAAAGGTGGATAAACTTTAACGTGGTAATTATTAGACCTAGAATCCAAACCCCCCACCCCCCAACAAAAAAGAAAAAACCTCGCCAGTAAAAGAAGGGAAAACAAAGAAAAAAGAACAAAAATGAAATAGAGAGATCAGTAACAGTAAGAGTTTGGGACTTGATTGCTCTATCCATGGAAACCACTGTCCGTCTGTCAGTAGTAAATCTTTTAATGCATTAATTGCTTTTATAAGCTTTGAGTAATCTAATCCTGGTCTTATGATGGCTATCTTATCTCCATAGGCAAGCAAGATGAAGTTAGATGGAGGGCACTTACAGAAGAACATGCAAGGGACAGCTTTGAGAATCTTCTCTTTAGCGTGTGCCGGTTCAGGGAGCTCACAGGCACTTATCCACTTAATATAACTGTAAGGCCCACTTTCTGGTACATTCTCTTTATGGCTTTTTTTTTTTTGGTTGAAATCATCTGAGTTAATGGTTGGGAACCTAGTAGGACATAAATTAATCTTTGACTTGTCAATGGGAAAAGGAGGACGGAAATATCATCTCAAAGTCAATTTCTATCATAATTTTGTAATATGTGTAGATGGTTAGGGTCCACTATTATGTGTCTAAGGACTCGTATATTCTTGATCTTTCCTTATATTTTCAGTAGATGCACATTTATCCCTGCTTGATACAGATAAAGACAGTAAAATGACCTGATATTCTGTTGGTTCTTCATCTATAGTTCTTATATTGGTGACCAATTTATGTCTTCAAATAATGTGCTAATACGATTGAGCAGGAAATAATTGTTTGTGTTAAGCTTGGTGAACCTGGTTGACTGCCTCTGTAAACAAATCTAATTGATATACCATGCTTGCATCTGAAATAGGTTGTTGGATATGATTTCAAGGAGGAGAGATTTATGCATCTGCATCGCTCTGCAATTAGGTTTCCAGACACAAGGTTCTTTTACTCGGGCACACCCTCTTCACAAACTTCAAGGGAAGCTGCTTTGAAAGGTGAAGCATTGGTTAGAACACAATTCCAGGACGATCCTTACGGATGTTTAGGTCCACTTCGTCGTAAAAAGTTTGGGCGGGATCCTTTTCATCGGTCAATTCCTTATCCTAATGGCTGTCCTGAAATTGAAGGACTGTTTAGATACTGTGGAAGAACACCATATTCTGGTCCCCTTCCTTGGGCCTAGCATACCAAGCTTTTCTTCATATGTATAAATTGATAGGACTAGCCAGGACAAATACGAAGATGTCACTAGTAGTTAGCATAGAGTTTTGCCGAAATAGAAAAATATGATGCCATGAGATACATGACTTAGTGGCGCAGCGAAATCTGTGTAAGACTGTTGCTAAGTGGCATGTTAATTTAACTCAGCTTAATTAATAGCATTATACAATATTTGTAACCAATTTGTTCCTGTTAGGAGAATATTAGTATTCTTATAGATAATAAATTAGTAAGGGTATTCTTGTAAATAGTCTGTTAGGTTTGTACTCCTATAAATACTAGTTGGTCACTCATAATAGGGTGACTAGATGTTTTCCTCCCAAGATACCTGTTGACATGGTATCAGAGCAAAAGTCCTAGGGTTAGGGTAAAACATCTAGCAAATCACTGTTCACGCCGCACTGTTCATAGCGGCACTGTTCACGTATACTGTTCACGGCACTGTTCACGCCGATACTGTTCACGTAGTTACTGTTCATGCCGTTACTGTTCACGCGTTTGTCTCAAGTTTTGACCCGTTCTTTCGTTTGACGTGCTATTCGCTATGGTTGAAAGGTTTGTTAATACGGTTATCACTGACCAAGTTGAATCAAGTTCTTCAACACATGGGTCCCAGAAAACTGTTACTATATCTGAGGAAGATTATGTTAAATTCCTACAGTACCAAGCTACAAATCACGCATCTCTTCCCTCTGCTTCTTTAGCACAAAAAGGTAATGACCCATGGATTATTGATTCCGGGGCTACTGATCATATGTCAGGTACCTCTAAAATTTTTTCTAATTTTCAAGAGTCAACTCCCTTTCCTCATGTTACTTTAGCTGATGGATCTACTACTAAAGTTAAAGGACTAGGCACTGTAGAAATTAATCCATCACTTCCGCTATCTTCTGTTCTTTACGTACCCAATTTGCCATTTAATCTAATGTCTGTTAGTAAGCTCACTAAATTTCTACAGTGTACAGTTACTTTTTCTCCTGATTCTGTTGTCATTCAGGATTTGAAGACAAAGAGGATGATTGGTGGAGGGCATGAGCATAATGGTCTTTATTTTCTCAACTTCAATGGTCCGATAGCATGTCCTGCTACTGTTTCTCCTCTTGAAATTCACTGTCGTTTAGGTCATCCGTCTTTACAAAATTTGAAAAAGTTGGTTCCTACTTTGAATCAATTATCTTCGTTAGAATGTGAGTCTTGTCAGTTAGGAAAGCATCATCGTGTTTCTTTTGCTCCTAGAGTCAATAAACGGGTTTCTGAACCTTTTTTGTTAGTTCATTCTGATGTTTGGGGTCCTAGTCGAGTCACTTCAAAGTTAGGTTTTAAATATTTTGTAGTCTTTGTTGATGATTTTTCCAGAGTTACATGGCTTTATTTAATGAAAGATCGTTCAGAATTATATTCCATTTTTTGTGCATTTGTTACAGAAATAAAGAATCAATTTGGTGTGCCTGTACGTATACTTCGCAGTGATAATGCGAAAGACTATTTTTCCACTCCTTTTAATACCTTTATGACTAAGTCTGGTATTATTCATCAGTCCTCTTGTCCTCACACTCCACAACAGAATGGAGTTGCTGAAAGAAAAATTGGGCATTTAATCGAAATTGCTCGAACACTATTGTTGCACATGAATGTGCCCAAACAATTTTGGAGTGATGCAATTCTAACTGCATGTTATTTAATTAATCGCATGCCATCTAATATTCTTGGAGGTCAATTACCTCACTCCATTCTTTTTCCTCATGAATCTGTGTTTAAATTGCCTCCTCGTATTTTTGGATGTGTGTGCTTTGTTCATCAGCTTGCTCCCGGGGTGGATAAATTAGATTCTCGTGCTATTAAGTGTATTTTCTTAGGATATACACGAGCGCAAAAAGGGTATAGATGTTACAGTCCAGTTTTAAATCGATTTTTTACTTGTGCTGATGTTACTTTCTTTGAATCCACTCCGTATTTTATCAAGCAAAGTATGTCTTGTGAATTAGACCAGTGTCCCTCTTTTTCCTCTCCTGTTTTACCAGTCCCTTCCCCTTTATTACCTGAGTTGTCTAGTCCACCAGATTCCATAGCTCGATTATCTCGTCCTCATCTTCAAGTTTACTCTCGTCGTTCCATGGTTGAGAAAGTTCCTGATATGCCACGCACTTCACCAATTAACTCTCAATCTTCAAATCCAGGTATGACGCCCTCCTCTGAGTTAGATCTTCCTATTGCTTTACGCAAAGGTAAGAGACATTGTACTTCCCATCCTATTTCTAATTTTGTTTCTTATTCTCGTCTCTCTATGTCATATTCTTCTTTTGTTGCTTCTCTTGATTCTATCTCTATTCCTAAGTCTATTACCTATGCTCTTAATCATCCTGGTTGGAGATTAGCTATGCAAGAAGAGATGTCTGCTTTGGAACAAAATGGTACTTGGGATCTTGTCCCTCGTCCTTCAGGTAAGCCTGTTGTTGGTTGTAAATGGGTGTACACTATAAAAGTGCAGCCTAATGGTTCTATTGATAGATTGAAGGCTCGGTTGGTAGCTAGAGGATTTACTCAGGTGTATGGAGTAGACTATTTAGAAACATTTTCTCCTGTTGCAAAGATTACCTCTGTCCGTCTTCTTATCTCTTTGGCAGCAACTTATAATTGGCCATTGCATCAGTTGGATGTGAAAAATGCATTTCTGCATGGAGATTTGGAAGAAGAGGTATATATGGAACAACCTCCTGGATTTGTTGTTCAGGGGGAGAATCCGCGGTTGGTTTGTCGTTTGAAAAAATCCTTATATGGATTGAAACAGTCCCCGAGGGCTTGGTTTGGCCGGTTTAGTAGTGTTGTCATGGAGTTCGGTCTGACAAGATGTGGAGTAGATCACTCTGTATTTTATCGGCATTCTAATGCTGGTAAAATTTTATTAGTTGTTTATGTGGATGACATTGTGATTACAGGTGATGATGTTGTGGGGATTCAGAAACTTAAATCCAATCTGCAGGCAAACTTTCAGACAAAGGATTTAGGTCATCTACAGTATTTTCTGGGTATTGAGGTAGCTCGGTCTAAATATGGGATTTATTTATGTCAAAGAAAATATGTACTCGATATGTTGAGTGAAGTTGGGATGTTAGGTTGCCGACCTGTGGATACTCCTATGGATCCCAATGTGAAATTAGCAGGAGATCAAGGTGCATTACTTGATGATCCTAAGCAATATCGAAGACTTGTGGGTAAATTAAATTATCTCACTGTAACGAGACCTGACATTTCGTTTGCAGTGAGTGTTGTGAGTCAATTTCTTGATACCCCTCGTACTAGTCATTGGGATGCTGTTATACGGATTCTCAGGTATCTTAAAAATGCTCCTGAAAAAGGGTTGCTGTATCAAAATCATGGACACAATGATATTGAAGGATATAGTGATGCAGATTGGGCTGGTTCTGCCTCAGATCGAAGATCGACTACAGGATATTGTGTGTTTGTTGGTGGTAATTTAGTGTCGTGGAAGAGTAAGAAGCAAACAGTTGTATCCAGATCAAGTGCAGAATCTGAATACCGCGCTATGGCTCACACTGTGTGTGAGTTGGTTTGGGTGAAGAGCATGTTACTGGAACTTGGGTTTGAACATAAACAGCCTATGAATTTAGTGTGTGATAATCAGGCGGCTGTTCATATTGCGTCTAATCCAGTGTTTCATGAAAGGACAAAACATATTGAAGTTGATTGTCATTTCATTCGAGAGAAATTGCTTGACGGGGTCATCAAGACATCTCATGTACCGTCTGTAGATCAATTGGCTGATGTATTTACTAAGAGTTTAGGGGGCTCTAGGGTGAAATATATTTGTAACAAGTTGGGTGCTTATGATATATATGCTCCAACTTGAGGGGGAGTGTTAGGAGAATATTAGTATTCTTATAGATAATAAATTAGTAAGGGTATTCTTGTAAATAGTCTGTTAGGTTTGTACTCCTATAAATACTAGTTGGTCACTCATAATAGGGTGACTAGATGTTTTCCTCCCAAGATACCTGTTGACAGTTCCCTCGTTCTGGATAGGATTTTTTCTTTTCTTTTATTTTTTTTCAATAATATGAGTTTGTGCATATACAAGGAATGCTGGACTCCGGCATCCTATTATTGAAAGTTTGTGCAGGAGATGATCAACCTCAGGATCCCAAGTCTGGCAATCTTGGTAATGAGGTGAAGGATCAAGAAAACGATAGTATGATTTCAGGGTTTTACACCAGCGTGGTTCTTGGCTTCAATTTTGGATTTTGGGAAGAGCCTGTGATGCCTTACAGCTCAACATCAAACTAGATAGGAGGTTGGCTATCTATAAGCATATTGTCAGTAAATAAAACTTGAGAGGCAAGGGAAAGGGTAGAATACAAGAAACTTGGCTCAAACTCTCAACAGCTGAGAAATTTTAATTAGTATAACTAAAGTAATGGAGTACAGATGATCAAAGGGTCCTGATATTATCTTTACTCTGATCTGACTTGAAACTCAAAGAAATGCACTTCAGGATTGATTCAAGCTCATTTGTCTAAGTTACTCTGCTGTAGCAAAAATGGGCAGGTAGAAGGTGCCTCAATCTTATATTCATCAGATGGTTTGCCCTTCAGAAGGCCTTCAAGTAGTTGTCCAGGGTCGTAGAAGAACTGCACCTTCACAACCTTGGAGTTCTCATTCAACTGTTCCGGGACCATAATTTGAGAACAAATCCAATTATTAGGATAGTATTAGTTGGATGAAGAAAACAAAGAGAGTAAAACTGGAAGTTGGATAAATGGTATTAGCACAGGTACCTCAAAAATGGCCATCCCAAAAAATTCAACCATTTCTCCGGTTGGGGAATTTCCTTTAAAAGGACCTTCCATGAAACCCCAATGCCTGAACTTGTATACTATCACCGGCGGCCCTGAATATACGTGAAGGATCTCCAGAGCGAATCCACGTGGAAATGTAGTCCTGAAAACCTTGAGAGCTGATTCCATGGTTTCTTTAGCTGGATCATAAGCCCGGAATTCCTCTGGCAAGGCGGTTTGCAATAGCACATTGTAGCCTCCCCCTAGTTTTCCTTTTTCTTCTATGGTTAGAGGTTTCCTTCCTGAAAATTCATCAGTTGCAAAACTATGAGTCTTACTGGCATCTGTAGCCTAGTGAACAATAACAAGATTTATTGTCTGTTGCCTAC